AGTAGATAAGAAAAGTGAGAACAATCAAGGGATTAAATGTTTTATTAGTAATGGAAACTGGTAGAAACACTGGCAGGCTCAGGAAGAAGGGTTTGTGCTTGAATTTGTTTTGGGTTTGCATTGGGTAACCTTACCTCTTCATATCTGTTTCAAAGTGAAATGTAATCATGAGCAACAAAGGCCATTTGAATGTAGAATTCATGATGGTTGACATCATATTTATTATTTTTTTATTGCCTCAGATCCATAATTTTTCAATTCTTCCCGATTTATTTTCAGTTGGACAGATCAACAAAGAGCTGCAGCAGCCAAAGAAGGCTGGGGTTACCGGTTGTTGTTCTCTGCCCGCCTGGTAATTCTTTTTGTTGTTTGTTTCTTTAAGATGGCCAACTATTAAGTTTTAAATGCAGTTATTACTTACCAAGATAACATTGTGCTGTTTCTGGAACAGGTTGGTGTTTTTCTCGTTGCTGATGCATTGATTCTTGGCGCACAACAAGTAGGTCGTTATCTTCAGGAAATAAGGTCTCACTAAAATTCTATGATTCTCCTTTAAGGTACTTGCTTTTAACATCAGAAAGGAGATGTTTCAATTCATCATTGCTTAGACACTAGAGACTTGAGGAGGATATTTGGAAGCTTAAATGGTTTTCAGAGCCATATGTAGCTATCCACTTTTTTTAAGTATGTATTCTTCTTTGCATTTGTTCTTCAAGTTCAGAATGACAATGTATATGAGTATTATTCTCTTCTATGGGCTATTGCGGAATTAGTTTATGGTGAATGACTCAAATTTTGGCTTAACCAAAGAACAAGAAGTTTACAATTTGATTACAAATTCTGTAAAGTCTAATTCCTTCAATATAGTCAAATTTGATTACACACACACACACATCTTTATTATTTCTAGCACTTGTTTTCCATATCAAGTTTACTGGCATCAAAATCTTAATTTATTGTGTTGCTTGACGTAATTGAACCTAACAAACTGTATTTTACCTGTTGCTATACAAGCATGAAAGACATATTTGCATCTGAGCCACTATATATCTGTGTTTTGAAAATATTGATCAACCTAAAGTGTTTTTCTTGATGCAATCTGATTGTACGTTACATATATGACGTCCAAAACATGATTGTTACATAATCTGATCATGCAGAACTTGTCGCATAATATCAAGGCATTCAATTAATACTAACTGCGAGTTATTTTGCAGAAATACAAGCAGTTTGTTCACTTGTTCTAGATTTTCAAATCATTTATTTATCATGGAAGCTGACTAGCTGAGTGCTACCTGCCTATATTTTCTGCATTCTTCATATTACACTTTGATGAAATGAGGCTGGCTACATGACGTTAGATTATCATTTAAAGTGTTACTGATGCCCCATCCTCCATAATAAGTGGTTTTGCAATGACTAACAGGTTAGCTATCCTGTGCATTGTGATGCCAAAAACTCCTGTCATATCCAAATATTTGGCGTTGACCCCAGGGGGCAAACTCCCAATCAAAGCTATGGAGGGGCTAAGCCAGAGCAAGCTCAACAGTTGCTCTTCCAAATGAAATAGCTGGACAGCTTCTTCTACTGGCTCCAGAAGGTATTAACTTAATATCTTGTCCCTTGAAATCAATTGAACTACCATAAATCTTTCTGATTCAAATAATTCAGGATTTTCCCATGGTTCTGGGTCTCTCTCTGTTGCCCATGCGTTGTCAAAAACCCGTGCCTTGTTTGGAATATCATACCCATCAATTATAATGTCTTCCATGGATTCTCTAGGGAGTAAGACTGGAACTGGCGGATGCAATCAAAACATTTCTTTGATGACAGCTTTCATGTAATGTAACTGAGGCAAATCACTGTCTAAGATAACTTTTCTCCCTCCTACAATGTTCCTCACTTCAGTCTGAGCCCTTTCCATGGCTTTGGGGTTCTAGATAAGGTCTGTCATTCCCCAGTCAAGAGTAATAAAGGTAGTGTCTGTTCCTGCAGCGAACGTGTCCTGCAAGGAGTAAGAGCATTAAATGGCAGTAGTCTTTTTTTATTTTTATGTTTTGGGAACTGCGGAGCATTGGTGTGAGTGGCCAGTGGGCCACTTCGTGTTGGACTAATCAGCAATGGTCCATGTGCAACCGTTCTCAATAGCTGTGAATGGAGTTTCCAAAGCTTACCAAGATGGTGAGGCTTTAATATTATCCATGGTTAGGGATGTTTCTTTAGAGCCATTGTGCGGGATGTTGAGCAATGCGTCAACAAGATCCTGCTTCTTTTCTTTCGAGGATTGAGATGTTCATTTATCACCTCATCAAAAAACAGATCAAAGCTTTGAAATGTGTTCAGAAGTCTAGATTTCATTCCTGTTGAGCTGTATATGAACTCCATAGAGGGGAAGAAATCTCCGATGCTGAATCCTTCAAGTAATTCTTGGTATTCTTCAATATTTTTTGGAATCCATGCCGTTCATACTCTAGTCCTTGTGAGAAATCCCTTCAAAATGCAACTTAACAGAGAACATCATTTGTATATAATCCAGGGGTCTTAGTTAGATTTGTGCTTCTAGGGTAAGACTCTGCAACTCTTTGAATCAGATGGGCAACTTCTTCTTCTCTTACAAAGCCGTATGCTTGAACTTGTTTGGCACTTAGTAGTTCAAGGATGCAGATTTTCCGAATATGCCTCCAGTAGGCACCATAAGGGGAGAAAACAATGTCAGTGCAATTGTAGAAGAGATGCTTGGCTGAAAAGGACTGGGGGACGGCTTAAAAATGCAAGAGCATGGGTTATCATGATTTCCTTTCCCATTCTAGCTGACGAAACTACAATTATTGGGACCTTACCTAGCTGTAAGAAAATGATTGGACCAAACCTCTTTGCAAGGTGGCTGAGAGAGGAGAGCAATGCTACCAAGCTGATGAAGGTTGCAATGAGTGATAGCTTTCTATGGCTCGGTGGAAGATTGAGCTTTATTTTTGTTGACTTGTTTTTTGAGCAAAACTTTAAGATAACAAGGAGGATGGATGCCAGTAGCCAGGAGGAAGTTAAGAAGCGCTGCAGCCACTGACGGAGGGCCATAGCCATTAAAGTTTTCTCTTACCAATTGAGTAAATAGCACAGCCTCTTATGACTTATCTATATATGTCCATTCATTTACATATGAAAAAGCTTGCTCTCTCTTTTGGCTGTGTTTCTTATACTTTCCCACCACTTTAGTTTGTCTGTCATAAGGGTAGAAAACAAATTAAAGTTGAGTACTTTGCACAGTTTGCAGCGGTCCTTTGTCTTGGTTTGGGAAGACCGGAGTGGGCTGCTTCCTCTCTACATTTGACATGACTCATGAGATTAGTAATTAGGTCACTGACAAACAGCCAAAATGAAGCCATCCTTCATCATGACAATTAGGTTTCCTTAAAAAATTAGGTCCACCTAAAATAAACGTTGTCACTTGTCTATCTCTATCTTTGTTAAAAAACTGGATACAGAAGAAATAGAACAAACTGAGATTGGTTGAGATTTTTTCATTTCTCTTCAAGATTGTAACGTGGTAATGTCTTTACCATGTTCTCAAGGCATGGGGGAAAAGGTTCCACATGGATTCCAAGTTCCGATGTTAACAATAAATTTGATGTTGGAGTTCTTTCCAGAAAGCTCAGCCAATTTTGTGATGAGTGATAACATAAACACTATGGCCATCAATAGAATTGTTAAGATTATTAAAATTGTGTTAAAAAATATTAATTTTATTTAATTTAATTGTAAATAATAATTAATAATTAATATGTAGTATATAATAAATTAAAATTAATTTATAAATAAATATTATTAAATATTATAATTATTTATTTTAAAAAATTACAAATATCGACTACATTAAATATAGATTTAGTTGCCTTAACAACTTATTGGTGGCCATAACCCAGTACTGCCCTTTATTTTCTGCTTTCTTCATATATATTACATTTTGATAAAAGGGAGCTACATGAATAACTCTTTCAGATTATCGTTTAACCTGTTACTGATGCCCCATCCTCCATAATAGGTGGTTTTGCAATGACTACCAGGTTAGCTATCCTGTGCATTGTGATGCCAAAAACTTCTGTCATATCCAGATCTTTAGCATTGACACCAGGAGGAAGCTCCCAATCAAAGCTATGTAGGAGCTGAGCCAGAGCAAGCTCAACAGTTGCAGTTGCAAATGAAATAGCTGGACAGCTTCTTCTACCTGCTCCAAAAGGTGTCAACTCAAAATCTTGCCCCTTGAAATCAATTGTACTACCCATAAATCTTTCTGGTTCAAATGATTCAGGATTTTCCCATAACTCTGGGTCTCTCCCTATTGCCCAGGCGTTGACAAAGATCCGTGTCTTGGCAGGAATATCAAACCCATCTATGATTACATCTTCCATGGACTCTCTAGGGACTAAGACTGGAGCTGGAGGATGCAACCGAAATATCTCTTTGATGACAGCTTTCATGTAGTGTAACTGAGGCAAGTCACTCTCTAGGACAACTTTTCTCCCTCCTACAATGTTCCTCACTTCAGCTTGAGCCCTTTCCATGGCTTTGGGGTTCTTGATAAGCTCTGTCATCCCCCAATCAAGAGTAATAAAGGTAGTGTCTGTTCCTGCAGCAAACATGTCCTGCAAAAAGGTAAGAGCATTAATCAGCAATAGTCTGTGCAACTGTGGACTAAAAACCTATGAGTGAAGTTTCAATTGCTAACCAAGATGATGGCTTTAATATTATCCATGGTGAGGGATGTTTCTTTAGATCCATCGTGCTGGATGTTGAGCAATACGTCAACAAGATCCTGCTTCTTTTCTCTCTCAGGATTGAGATGTTCATTTATCACCTCATCAAAAAACATATCAAAGCGTCGAAAAGTGTTCAGAAGTCTTGATTTCATTCCTGTTAAGCTGTGTATGAACTCCATAGAGGGGAAGAAATCTCCGATGCTAAATCCTCCAAGTAATTCTTGGTATTCTTCAAGCATCTTTTGGAATCCATGCCGATCATACTCTCCTCCTTTTGAGAAATCCCTTCCAAATGCAATTCTGCAAAGAACATCATTTGCATAAAATCCAAGCATCTTGGTCAGATTTGTGCTTCTGGGATAAGACTCTGCAACTCTTTGAATCAGATGGGCAACTTCTTCTTCTCTTACAAAGCCATATGCTTGAACTTGTTTGACACTTAGTAGTTCAAGGATGCAGATTTTCCGAATATGCCTCCAGTATGCACCATAAGGGGAGAAAACAACGTCAGTGCAGTTATAAAAGAGATGCATGGCTGAAAAGATCTGGGGACGGCTTGAAAATGCAAGATCATGGGTTTTCATGACTTCCTCTGCCATTCTAGCAGATGAAACTACAACTGTTGGGACCTCACCTAGTTGTAAGAAAATGATTGGACCAAACCTCTTTGCAAGGCGGCTGAGAGACAGGTGGGGCATGCTACCAAGCTGGTGAAGGTTGCCAATGATCGGTAGCTTTGGAGGGCTCGGTGGAAGATTGAGCTTTCTTGTTCTTGACTTGTTCTTCCAGCAAAACTTCAAGATAACAAGGAGGAGGATTGATGCAAGTAGCCAGGAGGAAGTTGAGCTGAGCTGCAGAAACTGAAGGAGAGCCATGGCCAGTGAAGATTCTCTAACCAAGTGAGTAAATCGCACAGCCTCTGTGTTTCTGATACCTTTCCCACCCCTTTTGCTTCACTACTACCATATAGGTAGATAATCCAATCACTCGATGCAGACTTTGAAGTGATCCTTTTTGTCTTGTTTTTAGGAGATATCATGGTGGGCTGCTTCTTCTCTGTACGTGAGTGTGACTCGACTCATGTGATCAGTAATCGGGTCACTAACACAAGGCCATAATGAAGCCATCCCTCACTTTCACGAATAGGTTTCTCTGAAAATCAGGTCCATCTTTAGAATCTTATAGCTGTCTATCTCTATCTTGGCATTTCAATCAAGGATGAGGCATGGAAATTCAAGGGAATGGAAAGCTACACTTCTTTCCTTTGATACGTACACAAAAATTGGGGGGGTTCATATTAATGTGAAGAAATATCTAATTGAAAATCAATGTTCATTTTCTAGAGGTTAAAAAAACAAAAATTATTTTGCAATATATACTGTAAAATAATAGACTAAAAAAAAAAAATCTGTTCATTTTAATTTTTATTTAAAAAAAGAGATTCTACTGTCCCGATTTCCCAAGCTTGTTGGGTTGCCAAAATAGAGTAGTCTGCTAAAAAGGCCCATTTTTGGAGAGCTAAACTTATTTAAATTATGGTTTCCATTTCAACGTGGGAAATCCCATTTCCGTTGGACACGGGGCGCAAAAAGCGAAGCACGCGCGAGGCATGTGCCTTAGGGTCTAAGTTTTTGGTCAGTCGGTTAATAAAGGGTAAACTACACCTGTGGTCACTGAACTTGATCATAACTTTCATTTTGGTCACTCAGTTTCAAGATTTAAATTTTTAGTCACTCAACTTACCTTTAACTTGCACCCGTTAATTACTAAGC